GTTCCGTCGCTAAGCGTGTAGGCACTTGCCGACCAATTCAGTAGTATGCCAGCGACCCATATTGCTCAATAATGTCAGCTGTTCTCACGATAGACCGATACGCATTCCTACCGAACTAACTCAAGGAAACTTTATTACATGGTCCCACGGCCGGTTTCTGCATCTTTGGAATAGGAAAAGGTATTATGGAACTATAAAAGGAAAGGGAAGGGGTGCTTTAAGAGCAGACGACAAGAACAAGGCAAACTGCACATGCGTTGCATGGCAACCATGAAATACTCTTTGTTCCCTGGTTTAATTACACAGTCAGAGAGAACGTAAAAAAACAAACGTTTAGGCGACCGACGACTTAAATGATACATGAATGTGTGTACTGTGTATGTGACTCACTTGCTGTATAGCGGCCTTCAGCGGAGGTAAGAGGTTGCACTCTGACCGCGTGCTCGTTTGTTAGAAATTTCGTCCAATTTTAACTGCTACTTATCGCTACTGATACAAAGATAGCGTAATATATAAGTGGTTATTGTCAATCAAAAGCTTGACTTCCTTCAAGATGTGGTCATTGTCGATCAGATTCTTGACACCTCACTACTAGCACCGCCCCCCAAGTCGATTAACTGACACACACGATAGTCATTCACTCAACTTCATTCGATGATAATTCTGCTTTTTTTGCTGTCTAAATTAAATGTGAAAATTTACTTCAATTTGAAAGACTTCAACAAACATAATATCTATATGCAGAATACTTTCAAGTTTTCTCAAATATGTCAGTTCTTTGTCGTGGTCACAACAATGTGACTTCAATCTTTTTTAGTTTCTTGATTTTTTTTTTTTTAATTCAAACTGATCTTGAAATGACGTAATGAATAAAATGATATGAATATTTTTGAATGTTTAACTGTTTGAGCGAATAATATCAAGTAAAGAACCAGAGCGTCCGACATCGAAGAATAGTTTTACTCCCGAAAACAATAGGAAAGAGGAGAGAAAAAAGAGAAGATGGTGCATTATACGAAAACACGGAAAGAAAAAGAATTTCCTGAAATAGTTTATTTCTAATTATTCATTTTCCCAGTGATATCCAGAATACTCGAGGTAAAGGAGTTTCAAATTCAGGATTGTTGGCATCCAATGGATTTGATCATGTAAATAATACAGGTTTATTTGACTGTAAAAGTGCTCAATATTGATGTCTGGGAATAAAAATATAGTCTTCAAGCCACTAATTGTAACGAAGAAGAATGGCCTGTGTACGCTAAGGTATTCTCGTGAGATCTGACCCTCAGAACAGAATTGTGGAAACTCCGTCTGTGTAAGTTAATTTAATACCTTAGATACTGGTAAGACCAAGATAAACACTCATCCCAAATCTCAGGAAACGTTTCTCCGTCATCTCAGATTGTCCTTCCACAAATAAATATACATCGTTACTCGTGAGACTGTAGCACACGGCGCCTGGCGCCAGGCGCCTTTAATCCCGTAATCCAACTTGTCCAACTTGTTTCACGAAATTTCCCGAAAGGGGCCGGGGACGTCCCTCCTGTTGAAGCACCTTTGGGCTTACACCAAAGTGGTTGTCGAATAGTTCCTGAAAGATAAATCAAAGAGATTTGCAAACATTCCAATTCGTAAGAGTGGGTATTTAAGCCTTCCAAGTGTACTCTGGTCCGATGATGACCATTAAAAATGTCTGCCTCGCGGAATCATAAACTAACATTGGGCTTAGTAGCAAACTTACATCTGATAAACTAATCCCCAGTTGCAGATCAAAATAAAGATATAAGCGATAAATGCATACAATGGAATGCTATTATGTGTTTTACATAATAAGGTAGCTGCCCTCTCCACATGCGGTACGGTGCAGACATTACAAATTATGTATGAGAATTTTATAAGAGTTACTTCCCCCTGTTTAATTTATTAAATCGTCATAAGCATGATCACATCATTTTCATTATTGTAATTCTTGGTTTAATATGATATCTTTAATATGAGTTTCATGTGCCGCACGTGGTAATTAAAGAAAATAAAAAATATGACACCAGGATTTTATTAAAGAACGCTCATTAAAAAGAGACGAATCACAGTATGGTACATATATTAAAGTTGTTTACATTCAAATGAGGATCGCTCCATATATTTAGATAAACATAAGTATCAATAAGAAATCCGTATAACTGAATGTTTCATATATCGACTAGGTTTTACTGTTGAGCAGTGAGACAGCTGGGAAAAAGAAATTAACTAAAGGTACGAGATGTCGGGTTGGGGAAGAGAGAGCGACTGACTGGGCAACATTGATTTTCTATGAAGAAAAGAAAATTAAGAAAATAAAATGTAAAACTGATGTGAGCGTCAGATGTACAAGGTTATCATTCTTGTAGAAATCGTACAGATACCCGCCTGGATTTAAAAATATATCTGTGTTATCGATATACAGGTGTTGAGACTATATTTTTTGTTTGTATAAGTTAATTGTCTGGGACACAGGTGTTAGACTTAGGCATATGTTTACACAACCAATCAGATTGTAAATATAAACAAAATTACACTAGTTTTGTTAACAGTATAATAATCATATCTCACAATTTTGAACAATTGGGAATACGGAAAAATCTAACTTACCCGTATCGAAAAAACCCTCATAAGACAAATGAAACAAAAATCGACATCTTATTCTAATAGTTTGTAACTTGAGGTTTTATTCCATCGATTATACGTGTATCTTATTTCAATATGACAATAAAACAAAAGTAAATGAAAGTTTTCATTTCTAATATCTTTTAATTTATATCATGTAATTATTTCGAAGTATGTCTGATGGTATGTCTTGATATAGTAATAATTAATTTGTAGGACAATAGTTTTGTATAAAAAGTCCATTATAGATTTACAAATGTTTATCCTTGAATGTGTGTCTTTTTTCTTTTTTTTTTTTTTTTTTGAATTTTTTTCTGTTCTACTATGAATATTAATCAAACGATATACAAAACTTCTTATGACTTACAAAATACCTTTACTTCATTATCCTATTATAATTCTGAATTTTTAATAATTCAATACTTTTAAAAATAAATGTACATGTTAAAAAAATAAATTAAAAAATTAGATACAATAATGTATTAACACATTCATTTAATCATTATGCTTACATTTTTATAAGTTCAAAATGCTACTTCTTAAAGTGTTTTCTATACTGTGGAACAGAAAATGTCTCTAGATTCCCCCAAATCTGTTGCTTTTCACAAGGAAAATTTTAAAACACTTTTATTATAATGTGTGAATAAATATTTATAATGGTATTTTTAACGTTAACAATGATTTGCCACAATAAAAAGGTGAATTACACTATTGTTCCTGAAATCAATCAATGGATACTAGCAGGCTTTATTTAAGTTCCCCAACATTTTTATGTTTCTGAAGCAAATAGTGTACATAACCTATTTATCTATTCTTTGATAAATATGTTTTAATATTAAGCGTCAGATCAGATCATGTTTTGTTAGTTGCATTCAATTCTGAATTAGGTTCTGATTTATTGGTAACAACCGTATATTTTTAAGGGAGAAAAAACTTGATTTAATTTAATTTTTTCATAATGGTTTAAGATGTACATTTGATATTAAGAAATGAAATCTGTGAACTTAATACCTCTGTCCTATATATATATACATGAATTCGATAACGCTGCCATACTGTAATAATACTGAAAAAAATCAAGCTATACTGTATATACGTTGTATGTTGTATTATTGTCAACATAAATCTTCAACCGATATTTCATCGTTTTCTTTTTTATCTGTGATGACAATGTGATATAGTCTTCTAGTGAAGATAAAACAAATAGTGAGACAGTTTAAATCCGTGCAAGCCGTCGGAGGCGACACCCTTGAGTTAAATCTGCGTATCAAAATATGATTATATCATATTTCTTAAAGGAGGAGCAACATTTTATCACTAAACAAATAAAGACTTATAAATAAAGTACTCTTCCGGCATACGACACCTTAGTACACTACTACGATAGGGGTCATGTAAGTGGTCAGTCAGCGTGACAATGCAAGTACGACCAGGGTTGGGTCCTGACCAGACCGCCCCCGTTTAGACATACCAGTGTCAATTTCTGGGGTGACGGGATGACGGTGAATAGTAGGTGTTAGTTCCCACTGTATCTATCCACTCCCAAAAGTCTGGCGATAAATATTATAGAGGCTTTCTTCGGGTGCTAGGTTCGTCATGTTAATGTTTGAATCTTTGTAGGTGTTCGAATATGGGGCATTTCTTCTCCATTGTGTCTGTTGGTATATTAACATTATTTTATAGTTGAAGACCTATGACGTCATCTGATCACGATAGTATCTTATTTATATATATCTCAATCATTTATTACGTTATGTGTTTATTTTTTAGTATTTGTTTATTTTTGTTTTCATTTATTTCTTTTAGAGTTGAAGTGTTTCTATTATTAGTAATGGAGACATAATAACAAAGACACATTAATGATACATGAACCATTTTCTATCAAATTTTGAACAAATGAAATTAGGCAAAATTTGCCAGTGAATATTAATATAAGAGACTATATATATATATATATCTATATATATATATATATATATATATATAAATATATATCTTTTTTTATTTCTCTTTTCCTAATTATAATCTTGACACTCATTACATTCCTAGGGTGCCCAGTCATACATACATTACATTTAATATACCTATATCTAATAAAGATTATGTTTATAATGCAAACACTTTTACAAGATGTTGAAAATAAAATTTGAAAGGAAAGTGGTTAGATTTGGGCTAATATCTGTAATTAGGAGAGACATAACAGCAAATTATATTCTTACACGGTTCATATTTACATAACTTAGATACTTCGATACTGAGAACCCTAGGGTTTATTCATATACATTATACTTATATCCAATTACCAACAGAAATCTACATCATAGGGTTTGGAGTTGGGATATGTAATTCCTAAATACTCACCTAGAGAGGGAAGGGTTGAGTTGATAGCTTTGGTCTCCGTATCCCTGCCACTGTGAAGAGGGCGAATTCGGATACATAGTTGAGTTACAGCCTGTATTCTGTGGAGAATTGTAGCTGCCGTTGGGAACACCATTGTGGTACCATTTCATGAAGGGATTGTTCATACTCTGGCGCAAAAGCGCCTCGTCTAGTCGGTATGCTCGGCGCTCGGCGTCAGTATACGGAGAATATATAGAACTAAACGGCGTTGCAGAAGGGCTGAATGGCACACTAGGGGCAAGCGGAGCATATCCGTTTGCCATATGGTACATGCCCAAGTCACAATCCTTCTTTCGGCCCCTACGACGGGAGCGCCTTCTCTGTCGAAAGTCGCCCCTCATGAAGTCCTGAATATTTGCTGGATGAATCGCCCAGTAATTACCCTTTCCATCCTCACAGCGTCCCGCCTTGATGAAACAGTCGTTTAAAGATAGATTGTGTCGGACGCTGTTGCGCCAACCCTGCCCTCTATTTAGATAATAAGGATAATTTTTCTCTATCCAGGAATATATAGAACCCAAACTAAGACGCTTTTGTGTTGACTCTAGTATTGCTTTCGCTATGAGTGCTATATATGAAAGCGCCGGTTTGACGTCAGCGTTTCCATGCGCCTTTTCGTCGTGTCCTTTTGACGGGTCTGCAATGTCTATGGGTTCGATTTCCTTTTCTACCTTTAATGTTTCGTCCTTGGTTTCCTGTGGGATTTCCGGTTCGGTGATTCCCGGAGACAGACGTTGCTGTGGCGGCATTTGTTGAATATCTGGTTTATAATCATGGTTTGTCTCTAGTTTAATATGTTGCACTTCTTCGTGGTGGGTGTTTAAGCCATTGTCGGAAAGTCTTCCCTCCGTTTCTCCTCCCCCTACCACATTTGAACCCCCTCCCAGCGCATCGTAGCGCGGATGAATTTGGTCCAACCCATGGGTGGGATGCCCATTGTCAAGAATGTCTGATTTGGTCAAGAGCCCGTCCGAACTCCTTTGTAGACCATAATCGGTTATGTCCATTTGTCGCCCATTGGGCATTTTGTAATAGGCACTATTGGTATTTGGTACGAATCCACCATGAAGTAATGTAGACTCCGCGTACGACGGAGGTTCCCGGGAAATATAATTTCCCGGAGAAGATGTCGGAGAGAGAAAGGCGTTATAACAGGTATCCGCTGGTGTTTCCTGAAAGTGTCCATGATGGAGTTTTATGGAGGATCCGTCATAAGATGGTGATCCGCCGTATATTCCGGACTGGTATCCACTTGGTTCAAAGTGTGAGTGCTGCATAATGACCTTTGTATTGGAATAACTAACAATTAGCCACCTATTGTGTATCGTCAATAATTGTCCACAGTGTGTTCCTCTGTATACAAATAAACAAATTCTCATTCAATCTCTTACGGCACAAACAACAACTGTTGCATATATAGAACTATGTATATCGGTACATGTCCAGCGTAACATTTTGGCCAAATTGTTGATCAGCAAACAGTATAAACTCCCCAAACATTTGTACCCACTGTACTCCTAAGTAGTAGCTCATTTTATTTTATTCCCTACCTGGTACCTGTCAAACGAAAATAGTTTGGTGTCCAGAATGATACGGACCCGTCATCCGATGAAACATATGTTCTGATTGGCTGGAGAAAGAACGCCCATATCGAGACAGACCGCGTGGTGGATGTTCACCACCAGGGGGCGGGGGGTAGATAACTGAATGATAATTGCTGTGAAGTGTTTAACTTTTGTCTAAACAGGTAAACATGAGAAGATCTTCCTCTTAAGCCACTGAATAGGTAGCTAATCAGGAACTAAGCCCATGATCCAGGTATCTTGGACTGAACTAATACCTTAGAAATTAAACAACCATTTAAAGCCATCTTATTGTTAAACTTCGATTCTTGGATCCAATGTAACTTATGATGGAAATGTATTTATGTATTGAATTTGATTTCAACCACATATCTCGATTACATCTCGAACCCTTTCATTTAATGATAAGTATTATAATGTGCCAATGAGTTCCATCAATAATCAAGAGAAATCAAGACTGGTTTCAGATTATTTTGACATAAGATGAATGTTTAATAAAAACATGTCATAAAGGATTGATTTATGTGAATATTCACTGTAAAAACAGAAAGCGCAACCATAAAAAATATCAAGAAGGTAACAATTTCACTAAAAATGAAAACAAATAACTATTTCCATTATATGACAGAGACCTTAATTGAGCAATGAAATTAAATCAGTTCAAATTGTTATAGGGACCACCAGAAAGTCCCTCAAACTGTTATAGGGACCATCAGAAAGTCCCTCAAGTTGTTAAGGGACCATCAGAAAGTCCCTCAAGTTTTGATTTAAACATATTTTATTTGTACAAAGTATACAAGCAGGATTGGGCACAAGTTTTCTAACTTATATAAAGCCCTTTCCTATAAAATTTTACAAAATACATATTAACAAGACAAGACATGTTTAAATACAATTATAATAAAAAAAAAAAAAAAAAAAACGAGAGAGAGAGAGAGTTTAAATAACTTCATGTAGAGCGGTCTCTCATGATACAAACAACACAAGTAAAAATACAAAACGCTTTTCATAACTTTCAAACTTTTCTACAGTTCATCACATCCCGTGCGAATATCGCTTTCTCCTGGCATCCGGGTCCTTCAGAAAAAAAAAACGTCACCACTTGTGTCGGAGCAAGGAGAGACCAAATATTTTAAGTTGTTAAGGGACCGTCAGAAAGTTCCTCAAGTTGTTAAGGGACCGTCAGAAAGTCCCTCAAGTTGTTATAGGGACCGTCAGAAAGTCCCACAAATTGTTATAGGGACCGTCAGAAAGTCCCTCAAATTGTTATAGGGACCGTCAGAAAGTCCCTTAAATCGTCCGCGCTGTCGCAAATGATGCCAGGTATTTCATAAAAATCATAGAATGGTTTTTGATTTAAGTCAATCTAAGACCGAGAAATGATAGTCGTTTTGTTAAATCACTATGCGAAGGCTGCAGTAGTCTTTGCGGAGTCATCACACATCCACATGCTGAATACATATAAATACATATTGACCAATCGGTAGCTGCGGCGGCCATATTTGATAAAAAAACGGAAACATCTCCGCTCAATTATCAATACTCAAAGGAAGTTTCATTCCAGTCTAACCAACGATTTGACGGTTATAGCCAGTTATATTTTAACCAATCAATGCCTCTTGTGGCCATCCCTGAGGGAGAACATCGAAAGTAACAGTACACATGGTTATCTATGATCATGTGAAGCTTCACGTGGATCTGATCCATGCTTTTAGAGAAAAATTTCGAATAGCGGGCGGCAGACGAATAAATAAATACGGATTTAAAAATAGCAAGTCCCCCCGCCTTCGTATGAGAGGCTGGATCGTGTTTTCCATATAATACTTAAACTTGCTTATTTTAGCGATAATCCGAATTAAGCGCTTTTCGATATACACATTTTGTGCTGAACTTTGATAGCGTTAATTGTAGTTTTAGTCCGATATCTATATAACAGTTATTGTAAATGCACTTATTCGTCATTGCGCTATTTTGCCGGAAATTGATAACGCGCTAAGTGTTAAGTTCATTTAGAGTATTCAAACCATATTATGATTTTTGGCATTGTATGGAAATATCTACATTCTACATGATGACCTCCCGTTAACTCAGTGTTAATCTGGATTGTATTTACAAGGGTATAGATGCAGTCTCGACCACACGACAATAACATGACCTCATTTTGGCGCCATGTGGACTTAACGTCAACGCATTGCACTTATTATAATTATAATTATTATTATTATAATTATTATTATTATTATTATTCTAATTATTTTGTAACTGCTTTCTTTCCCATGTCCGTTCGTAGTTATTAGTTTCAGTGTTTTAAATGGTATATAAATGAACGCCTGATTTCATCAAAAGACGTTTTGGAAAATTCTTTCTGTACAAAAACTACATCCAACATATCATCTCTTATGTTCGTATTATTTTCTCATCTGAAGTTTCCAGATTACGTTTCTATCCAAATTAAAGTGAATGCAACTATCGTTAGTCAGCTAGAGTCTCCATCTATACAAATAGCCCACATTATTATGTCTTCATCGTAACGACAGTACACGTCGGTATCCGGCAGTTAAGATTCTTCTGAATGTTTGTATATCCTCTGTCATTCAATATAATCTACCTTACATTGTGACAATTCGCTGTCTATGAAGCGTTTGAAGATTCGGTTTATCTCTAAAAACAAATACGTTGATTGGCGATTGAATAACTTCATACTTTTGTGTAAGCCCCGTCGGATTTCAAATGGAATAGTTTAGCTAGGTAAACCAGTGCTTTGTAAATACCGGTGCTCTGTTAAGTTCAATTATTGTTTACAGTCCATCAAGTTTTGATACAAAAAAGAAGAAATGATTCAAACTTGCAGGAGATAGCTTTAAAAGTAGACAATATGAATACAGGAAAACATTGGTTCGCTCTAAGCATGCACTGGGATATGGTTGTTGCCTTGACCGAGACACCGATTTCCTCTCTCCATCTGTCCAGAGGGAAGTATGCTGTGTTACAGTAATATAATACTGTGACAACAAAAACGAGTCTTCATAGGAAGCAATACCAATGTATACACATCAACACAACGATAGCTACAACTCTCAGTGTGTTGGCGATTCTTCCAATACAAACGAAGTATAAAACAAACAAACAAACAAAAAAAATAGAGAAAAAAAACCCAGAAATGTATCTGTGTTGTTGAAAGGAAGGCAACAAAGATTCTATATTGTTATTTCACTAAATAATTTAGATGTAAGCCTCAGATGTTATATTCCATTTACCTATATGTCTAACCTTACAATAGTAGATATGATTTCAAGCACGAGCGGTAGCTTAATAATAAAGGGGAAAATGATGAGTAACTAAAAATCAAAGCGTGATATCGAAATTAATGATCACTCCGAACAACCATTACTTATATACACTGTGTACATTTCTGTCGGTATAACAGCATGCGAGGAATCGCCAAAACAATTACACAATTTCCCGTCGGAAATAATTTGGTGCTCGTCATCACCTTTTAAAAGTTTAATTTCGCTTTTCGCAATAGAAAATAAATGGTTAATCGGCGTTCATCCGCTGGAAATCATGCAAACGACAGCTCCATCGTGCGAGTTAAAAAATATCAACATGTAAGGAAGCAGTTGAAGTCTAAGTGTTTTTTTAAAGAATCTGAATGCTAAGATATAAACTTGCAAGCATATCGGTTGTATACTTAGTAGTTTGTGTAAAAATATACTATACTATACCAGGTTTCAGCTGTATAAGTTCACAACGACAAAAATACACAGTTCTTCTTTCAGCCTTTCTTTAAAAAAAACATGTATCTAACTTTTAAAACTCTTTTATAAAAATTCCTTTAATCGTCGAAACAATTGCTATTCTCGTTGCAGTGTTGATTCTTTTGACACCTTTACTTGTAGCTTGATATATAAAGGAAATTTAATGATGTAATGTTGACGATGTGTTCTCCCTCTCACAAATCGCTTTATTCTTTTTTTTTTCCTTTTAGATGTTGCGTATTCCCAATGTGTTTAAAAGAAATTCTGTCACATTGATGCTGAACCCGAGTATTACATTTGAAAGATAGTTTTTTGAAATACCAAATATTTCTAGAAGTGCTGATAACTCATTGGTAGTTTTCTAATTTTGATAACCCTACCCAGTTTCTTACCACAATTACTTTCCAACGTATTACTTTTAGAGATTGGTACATCAGTGGAGGATTCCATTGGTAAAGCAATCACACGTGAGCGACATTAGAACAAGCTTTAAGCCTATTAAAATCTATCTTTATTTCCTGCGGTACTCTCCGTTTAATACAGATTAATATTAATCTTATTTTGATTCTGGAAAGTAACTAACAGTAAAATTACATCGATCTGAAGCAAAACAAATCAGGACTTTTAAACCCCGTGCATTCATTTATATTTTAAAATCAGAGTATAAGAAAACACCGGCATTTTATTAACAGAATATTAATTAAAAAATAAATTCGATGAACTATGGCAATATAAAAAGCGAAAGAAAAATAAAATTACATGGTGACTCCTGAATAAAGTACAAGGAGAATAAAACCAGGTGGTCCTAAAATATAACATGTATTTGGAAATTAATTTACAATGGTTAACCACATACTTATTACATTCATATTATCTTAACCACATACTCATTACATTCATATTATCTGGTGTATTACCATAAGATATTTAGATACT